TGGAGTCAGAATGGCATATCGAGGTCAGTAGGGAAGTGTATAGGGGGTCAGCAGAGTAGTGTACAGGGGGTTAGAATGGCAGTGTACAGGGCATCGATGGGGCAGTGTACAGGGGGATTAGCATGGCAATGTACAGGGATCCCAAGGCAAGTGTACAGGGTGTCAGTAGTACAGTGTACAGTGGGTCAGCAGGTCAGTGTACAGTGGGTCAGCAGGTCAGTGTACAGTGGGTCAGCAGGGTGTGTACAGGGGGTCCATGCAGGGTGGTGTACAGTGGGTCAGCAGGGTGGTGTACAGTGGGTCAGCAGGGTGGTGTACAGGGGGTCAGCAGGGTGGTGTACAGGGGGTCAGCAGGGCGGTGTACAGGGGGTCAGCAGGGGAAATCTTGGAAGGTCAGCAGGGCGGTGAGGGGCATAGCTGAGGTCTAGGCACAGGCCACCCCAGAACTCCTCTAGATCTGGCCATGGGGATGATCCATTGTTGTCACTGTTAGGAAGCTGGTCTGTGCAGCTGACACCGGAGCCATGCAAGTGGTGAAAAGCGGCTGCAGGAGAACAGCAGCTCTGAGGATATATCACGGGGATGAAAAAAAAGGTGAGACGGTATTTTATTTCATAACATTGTCATTGATACATCGGGCTAATTAAATGCCATTTGGTTTGTATTCAGAATTACTGAACTCCTGTGCTGTCCCTGCAGATGATTTCAGAGATGAAGAGCAGAGCGAGAAGGAGGAGGAGGAGGAGGAGGAGGAGGAGGGGAGCAGCGCTGGGTCACTACTGACTATATCATTACCTCTGTCAGAGCAGCAGGTAAGTACCATCAATAGAAAAGCAAGCCCCTAATTGGAGAGATCTATCAATTGGAGGTAGCTATGAGATGGATCTATTCCTATGAATTGGGAGAGATCTATGAATTGGAGAGATCTATGAATTGGAGAGATCTATGAATTGGGGAGATCTCCTCTATGAATTGGGGAGATCTATGAATTGGGGAGATCTATGGATTGGGGAGATCTGTACAATGGAGAGATCTATGGATTCGGGAGATCTATGATCACACCAGAGCCCCCTTTTACTTCAGAGCCCCCCTTCACATCAAAGTCCCCCCTTCACATCAGAGCCCTTTCCTTTCACACCAGAGCCCCCTTTTGCATCAGAGCCCCCTTTCACATCGGAGCCCCCCTTCATATCAGACTGGTCCCAATCAGACCCGCCCCTTTCAGATTGGAGTCTCCATTCACATCAGAGCCCCCCTTCACATCAGAGATCTCCCCCTTCACAAGAAGGTGCAGCAAGTCCTCTAGGTGGCTGACTACCAGTACCAAAGCAACGAAGTGGACTCTCCGAGGCAGAAGTAGTTATGGTGCTGGCAGCTGACCCGTCCTCCATGGATATGAATGATGTAAATGTGAGACGACTTGCTGCAAGCCGGATGAAGTCCTGTAGTGGGCCGGGTGCGGCCAGAGCTTGAAGACCCCTTTTTAGATGATGAGGATGTATTGTAGAAACAGAACTTCGATCAATACCTTATGATTGTATCTCGACTATCGATCAAAATCCACTTCCCCATTGTGTGGCATATCGATCAAATGGGTTGACGGCTATAGATCGATTGAAAAAAAATCAATCCTTTATTAAAGTGCGTATGGCCACCTTCATTTGGATGTGTTGTGTGTAGAATTAGCAGATAAACACATAGACAGGAGGATCTCCTCCTACAATAATAAACGCACAGTGAGGAGGATCTCCTCCTACAATAATAAACGCACAGAGATGAGGATCTCCTCCTACAATAATAAACGCACAGAGATGAGGATCTCCTCCTACAATAATAAACACATAGAGATGAGGATCTCCTCCTACAATAATAAAACGCACAGAGATGAGGATCTCCTCCAACAATAATAAACGCACAGAGATGAGGATCTCCTCCTACAATAATAAACGCACAGAGATGAGGATCTCCTCCTACAATAATAAACGCACAGAGATGAGGATCTCCTCCTACAATAATAAACGCACAGAGATGAGGATCTCCTCCTACAATAATAAACGCACAGAGAGGAGGATCTCCTCCTACAGGTGATACTTCTGGACAATCATTGATAGCGGATTTGTATTGCCTGCCGTCAGAGGTTGCTATAGAGACACAGATAAAAAGACATCAGGAATATCTATTGTTACTGGCAAACCATCCACACTGTTCACATGCTTGCTCTGCTACCTAGCGATGATGGATCTGTTCAAGGATGGAGCGTCCCTGTGAGACTGAAGGCTGCATAATTCTTTAGTGACGATGAGACCAAAGTTCATCGATTTCCATTCGTTCCATGGAATGGACCCAACAACCTGCAATATGTTGTCACCCCTCATTGTAAATGTGACGAGTCATGAAGGGTTGTCATCTGTCATCATATTGCTGGGGTCAGTCATGTGGCATTATGGCTTGACTCATAAAAAACAGAAACGATTCCAGCACTGGACTCATCACAGTCATGCAATAGATGACGTGATGTCCCGCAGCCTCTTGGAACAGGTGATGTTCCTCAGCCTCCTGGAACAGGTGACGTCCCTCAGCCTCCTGGGTCAGGTGACGTCCCTCAGCCTCCTGGGTAAGGTGACATCCCTCAGCCTCCTGGGACATGTGAAGTTTCACAGCGTCCGGGGACAATTGATGTCCCTCAGCCTCCTAGGACATGTGACGTCCCGCAGCCTCCTGGAACAGGTGATGTCCCTCAGCCTCCTGGGTCAGGTGACGTCCCACAGCCTCTTGGAACAGGTGATGTCCCTCAGCCTCCTGGGTCAGGTGACGTCCCGCAGCCTCTTGGAACAGATGATGTCCCTCAGCCTCCTGGGTCAGGTGACGTCCCACAGCCTCCTGGAACAGGTGATGTCCCTCAGCCTCCTGGGACATGTGAAGTACCACAGCGTCCTGGAACAATTGATGTCCCTCAGCCTCCTGGGACATGTGAAGTACCACAGCGTCCTGGGACAGTTGATGTCCCTCAGCCTCCTGGGACAGGTGACGTCCCCCAGCCTTCTGGGACAGGTGACGTCCCCCAGCCTCCAGGGACAGGTGATGTCCCCCAGCCTTCTGGGACATGTGACTTCCTGCACAGCCTCGTGGGACATGTAATGTGTCCTAGGAGGTTGTGGACAGGGTGGGATGCAAACTGAACTCCTACAATTGTTGCCTAGATGAACAAGTAGAAGTGGAGTCAGTACCTGTCATAAAAAGTTACCAGCCCCCCCCCCCCCAAAAAAAAAAAATTGAATGATAGCGAGGTGTGGGGGTGGTTGTTTGATGATGGGGGGAATGAGGGAACATGAGTGAAACTTTCTGCATTTTAAGTGAAGTTCCACTTTAACCTTACACCTGCTACAAACATCTGTTGACAATGAGATCTGATTGGTTGCTAGGGGTCACCATACTTTCCATTTTTTGATAAGAATGCATGTCATTTTCTGAGCCTCAGTTCACACATTTGCGATTAGGGGGTCACCATTTTTTCAGCCTCCTAGGACAGGTAATGCACCTCAGCCTCCTGGGACAGGTGATGTCCCGCAGCTTCCTAGGACATGTGACGTCCAGCAGCCTCAAGGGATGTGACATCCTGCAGCCTCCAGGGACATGTGATATCCAGCAGCCTCCAGGGATATGTGACATCCCGCAGCCTTCAGGGACATGTGATGTCCTGCAGCCTCCTGGGATAAATGACTTCCCACAGCCTCCCAGGACATTTGACTTTCCATAGCCTCCCAGGACATGTGACGTCATGAAGCCTCCCGGGACATCCCGCAGCCTCACGGGACATATGACAATGACCAAATGACAGCTACAGCGCAGTCAGACAGTTCTGGGAGGGCGTCAATGATGTCCTCCCAGAATGCGCCCCCCTCGTGCCCTCAGTGGCGCAAACCCAACACTTCAGTCACAGCTGATCACATGACATGGTAAAGGACCAATCACAGCGACCTTTTATCACGTGATCAGCTGTGTCCAATCACAGTTGATCACCAAGTAAATATAGTTGCCGGTTATCTGCAGAACTTTCCTCACACTGTCACAGCATGAAGAAAGTGCTGCTGATAACCGGCAACTGTGAAAGGAGACATCTACACTGATTATCAGTGCAGCCCCAGTGCCCAGCAGTGCTGCCAATCTGTGCCACCTGTCAGTGCTGCCAGTCAGTACTGCCTATCAGTGCCACCTGTCAGTGCCACCTATCAATGCCGCCAGTCAACATTGCCAGTTAGTACTCCCTATCAATACCCATCATTGCCGCATATCAGTGCCCATCAATGCAGCCTATCAGTGCCCATCAGTGGTGCCTATCAGTGCCCATCAGTGGTGCCTATCAGTGCCTATTAGTGTAGCCTCATCAACGCACATCAGGGAAGAAGAAAAATTACCTGTTTGCAAAATGTTATAATAGATACAAGAAAAACTTTTTTTTTTTAAATGTTCAGTCTTTTTATTGTTTGTTTAGCAAGCAACCCCCCCCCCCCCCCCCCCCCCAGTGCTGACTAAATACCACCAAAAGAAATCTCTATTTGTGTGAAAAAAATGATTAAAATGTCATATGGGTACAGTGTTGCATGACCGCGCAATTGTCATTCAAAGTGTGATAGCGCTGAAAGCTGAAAATTGGCCCGGGGGGGAGGGGGTGAATGTGCCCGGTAGGCCACGGGGTAAATAGAGACATTTTTATTTTTCAGCTTTGAAGTGCCTTTTCCTGTAATGTGTATCCTCCTTTCTGTGGTTATCAAACGATATATCCTGTCTGGAATGGGAAACGCGTCGCTGACTCTGGTTATAGCTGAACGTTCACATTAATCTGGTCTGTCTCCTCCACAGAGCAACACGCTGAGTGCATACCAGAGCTGTCTGCGGAGATTCCTCGATTCCAGCATCGAATGTAAGTCTAGCCGAACGGCAAACCGCTAAATACACAGATGAAAGGGAACACACTATATTGCTGAGAGTATTGGGCCCGCCCTCCACATCATGTGATTCAGGTGTTCCAATCCCCTCCATATCATGTGATTCAGGTGTTCCAATCCCCTCACTATCATGTGATTCAGGTGTTCAAATCCCCTCCACATCATGTGATTTAGGTGTTCCAATCCCCTCCATATCATGTGATTCAGGTGTTCCAATCCCCTCCACATCATGTGATTCAGGTGTTCCAATCCCCTCCACATCATGTGATTCAGGTGTTCCAATCCCCTCCATATCATGTGATTCAGGTGTTCCAATCCCCTCCCAATCATGTGATTCAGGTGTTCCAATCCCCTCCACATCATGTTATTAAGGTGTTCCAATCCCCTCCACATCATGTGATTCAGGTGTTCCAATCCCCTCCACATCATGTGATTCATGTGGTCCAATCCCCTCCACATCATGTGATTCAGGTGTTCCAATCCCCTCCACATCATGTGATTCAGGTGTTCCAATCCCCTCCACATCATGTGATTCAGGTGTTCCAATCCCCTCCATATCATGTGATTCAGGTGTTCCAATCCCCTCCACATCATGTGATTCAGGTGTTCCAATCCCCTCCATGGACACAGGTGGATACAATCAAGCCAAGTGGTAGGCCACGTCACATGACAGGGCGGGGTCAGCGCATGCTGAAGCGCACAGTGTGCAGAAGTCACCAACTGTCTGCAGAGTCAATAGCTAAAGACCTCCAAACTTGGTGTGGCCTTCAGATGAGCCCAACAACAGTGCGTAGAGAGCTTCATGGAATGGGTTTCCATGGCCGAGCAGCTGCATCCAAGCCTTCCATCACCAAGTGCAATGCAAAGCGTCGGATGGCGTGGTGTAAAGCACACCGCCACTGGACTCTAGAGCAGGGGAGACGTGTTCTCTGGAGGGACCAATCACACTTCTCTGTCTGGCAATCTGATGGATGTGTCTGGGTTTGGCGGTGGCCAGGAGAATGGTACTTGCCTGACTGCATTGTGCCAAGTGTAAAGTTTGGTGGAGGGGGGATTATGGTGTGGGGGCTGTTGTTCAGGGGTTGGGCTTGGCCCCCTAGTTCCAGTGAAGGGAACACTTAAGGCAACATTTTGGACAATTTCATGCTCCCAACTTTGTAGGAGGAGTTTGGGGATGGCCCCTTCCTGTTCCAACATGACTGCCCCCCAGTGCACAAAGCAAGGTCCATAAAGACATGGAGGAGCCAGTTTGGGGTGGAGGAACTTGACTGTCCTGCACAGAGTCCTGACCTCAACCCCATAGAACACCTTTGGGATGAATTAGAGCGGAGACTGCGAGCCAGGCCTCCTCCCCCGACATCAGTGCCTGACCTGACAAATGTGCTTCTGGAAGAATGGTCCAACCTTCCCATAGACACCCTCCTAAACCTTGTGGATGGCCTTCCCAGAAGAGTTGAAGCTGTTATAGCTGCAAAGGGCGGGGCCAACTCAATACTGAACCCTACGGACTAAGACTGGGGGGCCATTAAAGGTCATGTGTGTGGAAAGGGCGGGGCCAACTCAATATTGAACCCTACGACTAAGACTGGGGGGACATTAAAGGTCATGGGTGTGGAAAGGGCGGGGCCAACTCAATATTGAACCCTACGGACTAAGACTGGGGGGCCATTAAAGGTCATGTATGTGGGAAAGGCGGGGCCAACTCAATATTGAACCCTATGGACTAAGACTGGGGGGCCATTAAAGGTCATGTGTGTGGAAAGGCCGGCCGACCAATACTTTTGACAATATAGTGTGTATGGGATGGAGGATTTGTACTCCTGTCCATCCAGAGAAGGAACACTGCAGCACAGTTCATTGGCTCCTTTGGTTTCTTCTCTGACTCACCAAATGAAAGCTCTATTTGTGTGAAAAAAAGATCTAAATTTATTTTGTGTACGCTGTTGCATGACCACAGTTTAAAGTAGTGCAGTGCTGAATAGCAAAAAAAAATGCCCCGGTCATGAAGGGGGGAAAACCTTCCGGAGGTCAAGTGGTTATGTGACTAACAAACCCAGAAAGGACGAGTATTTAGTCGCTTCCAGTTGCAGAGATGTCGTTGTTGGCTACTGTAGCTGAGGATGTGGCTAACCAAGCATGATCTGAGCTTGATTAGCTGCCTTGGAGGGCAGAGGGGACATTGGGGGTCTGAGAGATATAACTGATTAGTCAATTCAAGCATTAATGACACAATCCCTTCCAGTTTTTACCATGTTTGTTGTCATGGAGTATACATCCCTTCTACTGACGTATTTTCTTTCATCTCAGCACCCGACATACAAGACACCATTTCTACGGATCCAGGGGAAGTGACGCTAACAGACTGCATTGAAGGGGAAATTGCACTTCTCAGACAGTGAGTATCATACTGACGGGGCGGGGGGGGGGGGGGGGGGGGGGGTAGGGAAAGACCAGAGTGACATATTTGCCCCTTGGGGCCTGTGGGAGGAATGGGTCATCGGCCCGCGTAGAGGAGATGAATTATGTCGAGTCAGCAGAACAGAATCTGAAAGAACAAAAGGAAAGTCTTTTTCTGTATCGGGGGGAGCAGCGGCTCTCACAGCCCCCAGGAATGTGGGAACTTCGTCTTTTTGTCTGTCAGTTGCCCAGGTTTTGGTGGTGCAGGTAGGGAGGCTGCCATCAGACCCAAGTAAGAGCATTTACTGGTGATTCTGGAGCTTTGTGTGTTTTTTCAAACATATTCAGGTCAGAGAGTTTTTTTTGTTTTAGCCAATGGAAATCGAGTTACTAGGAGAAGGAGATGGTTGGCTGGGCTGCATCTAGCCTGTCTAATGTGGGGGTGCAGTAAAAAAAATGTAGGTGCTTTGAGAATGGGAGGTCAGCAGGGCAGTGAACAGGATTTAGTAGGGCAGAGTACAGGGGGTCAGCAGGGCAGTGTACAGGGGGTCAGCAGGGCAGAGTACAAGGGGTCAGCAGGGCAGTGTACAGGGAGTTAGTAGGGCAGAGTACAGGGGGTCAGCAGGGCAGTGTACATGGGGTCAGCAAGGCAGTGTACATGGGGTCAGCAGGGCAGTGTACAGGGGGTTAGCAGGGCAGAGTACAGGGGGTCAGCAGGGCAGAGTACAGGGGGTCAGCAGGGCAGAGTACAGGGGGTCAGCAGGGCAGTGTACAGGGAGTTAGTAGGGCAGTGTACAGGGGGTCAGCAAGGCAGTGTACAGGAGGCAACAGAGCAGAGTACAAGGGGTCAGTAGGGCAGTGTACAGGGCATCAATAAGACAGTGTACAGGGATGCCCAGGGCAGTGTACAGGGTGTCAGTAGGACAGTGTACAGTGGGTCAGCAGGGCAGTGTAGAGGTAGTCAGTAGGGCAGTATACAATGGGCCAGCAGGGCAGTGTACAGGTAATCAGTAGGGCAGTATACGGGTGGTCAGAATGGCAGCGTACAGGGGTCACGGGTGCAGTGTACAGTGGGTCAACAGGGAAGTGTAAAGGGCATCAATAAGGCAGTATACAGTGGGTCAGCAGGGAAGTGTACAGAGACCCCCAGGGCAGTGTACGGGGGGTCATCAGGGCAGTGTACAGGGTGCTATTAGGACAGTGAACAGTGGGTCAGCAGGGCAGTGTACAAGGGGTCACCAGGGCAGTGTATAGTGGGTTAGCATGGCAGAGTACAAGGGGCCAGCAGGGGAAAACATGGGAGGCCAGCAGGCCAGTGGTGGGCACAGTTAAAATCTTGGGTGGCACAGCCCACCTCAGCACCCCCTGGATCCAGCCAAAAATGACCATTTTTCAGGCACTCCTATAGTAATCTATGGGGGAAAACACTCCCCATTCTGCTCCAGAAATAAGATGGTTGTTGTGCAGTTTGAAGCTTTGAGCTTCAAGCTCTAAAATGGTCAGGTGTGAACTGAGACTGATTGTGTGAAGGCCCTCAACGTCCTCCATACGGTGCAGGACCACTGGGCCTACATTTGTATGGGCTGATTTTAGCAAGGCAGTGGCCACACAACCTGTTAAGGGGATCAGATTTTGGGGGTTTGATGTCCATCCTATAACTGATGGGGAAGAAGCTTGCTGGAGTGAGTAATGAGCAACCCCCCCCCCCCCCCCCGTAGACTAGACAAGCACTGAACTCTTACAATATGGGTGGAGGGGGGAGGACCACAAGAGATATTTTGAAAGGTTGACCTGAGTTCAGCTTTAAATATTCATAGCAATAAAGGAAATAAGTCTTCCACCTCTGACTTCCATGAGATCAAACATTTATGAAAGAAGAGATGGATGCATCTCCCATTGGACACATCTCCGCACATCTCCGCACCTGATGCACTTCACACTCAGCAATTTATACATTATATTCATATATGCAATATTTCACATTTACCTAATGAGGCAAGTCTTTGACATCTGGTTACCTTGTACAACTACTGGTAGCCAGTGCCGTCTCTGGAACAATACACCATCACAAGAATCAGTATGTGGTCTTCACCACCTCAGGACAGTTGCCACCTTCCAGCTTCCTCCGGACATGGTCCATTGAATGAGACGGCACCTCTCAAGACCAGATCCCTTGTGGTGAGGTTCTGCAATCAGTTTCTAGGAAGATCCATCAGGACTCTCAGCCCTGACACCGCTGAGGCCTTTAGCACAGCTACACAGTCCATTGGATGCCTAAGGGCAACAGCCCCATACGTTTTGGAACCCTCCTAGGGGGAAGGAACCCACCTCTCCAGTGCTTCACACTATTTATCAGCTCTCCAACCCCCTACCGGACACTCTTCTCCAGGGATAGGCTAGAGCAGTGGTCGGCAAGCCGCGGCTCGCGAGCCACATGCGGCTCTTTACCCACTCTAATGCGGCTCTTCTGTGTGCCGGGCGCCTGCTCCCCTCCCTCCTCTCGGTCGGCCGCTCCCCTGCCTCCTCTCGGTTGGCAGCCCCAAAAGTCCGCGCGGACCTTTTAATCCGGCCCGCGGATGTGGCTGTCAGGATGTGTGTAGGCGGGGCAGCGTGCCGAACGTGAGGGGAGGGGAGCTAGGCTCCTCTCACAGTCCGCCCTGAAGACCCGAACGGCGCGGGAAGACAGCGAGAGGAACGCAAAAGGTAAGTGAATTGACACGGGGGACTTGGCTTACTAGAAGGGGGGGGGGGATAGTACTGTGGGGGATGAAATACTATATGAGGGATGAATTACTTTATGAGGGATGAATTACTATATGGGGGGATGAAATACTATATGAGGGATGAAATACTATATGAGGGATGAATTACTATATGAGGGATGAAATACTATATGGGGGGATGAAATACTATATGAGGGATGAATTACTTTATGAGGGATAAATTACTATATGGGGGATGAAATACTATATGGGGGGATGAAATACTATATGGGGGGATGAAATACTATATGAGGGATGAATTACTATATGGGGGATGAATTACTATATGGGGGATGAATTACTATATGAGGGATGAATTACTATATGAGGGATGAATTACTATATGGGGGGATGAAA